TTTTATAATAGACTTAATTTGACAGAAAAGTAAGGCTCTAAGAGACTTTAATATAATTAATTATTCAAGAGGTAGAACTGATATGCTCACCTTTTCCAAGTGCCCATGAAACATTCACCCTCCCCAAAGAGCATATGTAAACTAGAAATTCAGCAATTTCTAAAAGAATAAATAATTCATACAATAATATTTAATCACAATCCAATTTGAAGAAAAATGATTTTTACAAAGAAATCCTAATATTTTAAAAAATTGTTAAGAAACAGGTGGACCAAAGAGGGAAACAAAACTAACAATAAATAATATTTGTGGGAGGAAAGGGGGAGATAGTGAAATAACACACACCAGGATAAAGGGTTATCACTAAATCAATGTTCAGAAGAAAATTTATAACCTTAAACAAATATATTAAAAAACAGAAAGAAAGAACATTGCTTAAATAATCATATCAAGAAATTAGAAAAACTATAAGAAATGGGAGAGGTTGGTAAAAGGGTGCAAACTTTTAGTTAAAAGAAGAATGAAGTTTAAGGATCTGATGTATATGATGGTGACTATGGTTAATAATATCGTTAATGATATTGCATTGCATCATTGAAATTTGCTAAGAGAACTTCAATGTTCTCACCAAAAAAAAGTAACTATACGAGGTGATGGATGTGCTAATTCAATTGGAGGGATCCTTTCACAATGTAATCATCATGTATGTTCACTTCAAACATATTACAATTTTATTGTCAGTTACATTTCAAAAAAGCTGAGAAAAAAAGCTAAAATAAAATAACATTTTATAAGCTCTCAAAAAAAATGACAAGTCCAGGAATAGACCTAAGGTAATGTAGGAATTTAATCCATGATGTAAGTGGCATCTTAAATGAATGGGAAAATGTATTATGCAATAAATTCTGTGAATAGAAGCAATAACATAGCTATCCTGGGAACACATAAGTTGTATACTTCAGTTACATTTCAAAAAAGCTGAGAAAAAAAGTTAAAATAAAATGACATTTTATAAGCTCTAAAAAAAATGACAAGCCCAGGAATAGACCTAAGGTAATGTAGGAATTTAATCCACGATGTAAGTGGCATCTTAAATGAATGGGGAAATGTGCTATGCAATAAATTCTATGACTAGAAGCAATAACATAGCTATCCTGAAAAAACGTAAGTTGTATGCATAGCCCAGCTGGTGTGGCTCAGAGATTGAGCATCAGCCTATTATGAACCAGGAGGTCAGCGTTTGATTCCCCATCAGGGCACATGCCTGGGTTGCTGGCTAGATCCCCAAAGTGGGACATGCAGGAGTCGGCCGACAATGATTCCCTTGCATCGTCAATGTTTCTATCTCTCTCTCCATCTCCCTTCCTCTCTGAAGTGAATAAAAATCTTTTTTAAGGGAAATTTGGCAATATTTTTCAAAATTACAGAAGTGTTTTTCTTTTTACCCAGAAATTCCACTTCTGAGAATTTATCCAACAGATATATGGGCACATGTGAAAAGTGCCATATGTGTGAGGCTGTTGCCATCAGGGCACATGCCTGGGTTGCTGGCTAGATCCCCAAAATGGGACATACAGGAGGCGGCCAGACAAATGATTCTCTTTCATCGTCGATGTTTCTATCTCTCTTTCCATCTCCCTTCCTCTCTGAAGTGAATAAAAATCTTTTTTAAGGGAAATTTGGCAATATTTTTCAAAATTACAGAAGTGTTTTTCTTTTTACCCAGAAATTCCACTTCTGAGAATTTATCCAACTGATATATGGGCGCATGTGAAAAGTGCCATATGTGTGAGGCTGTTTGTTGCAGCACTGTTTGTGATAGAAAATCATTGAAATAACCTAACTGTTCATTATTAGAGGACTGGTTAAATTCATAATGGTATATCCTTACAAAGGAATACTATGCAGCTGTAGAAAACAGCTCTGTCTGTGCTAATTTGAAAGATATCAAAGCCATATTATTAAAAGTAAAATGCAAGTTGTAGAATGAATACAGTATGCTTTGGTTTACATTGAAAAGAAGGAAAAGAACACACACATGCACATTGATATAGTATAGTATGATATAATAAAATATAATATGAATTTTTATTTCTAAGTACATATTCAGAAGAATACCCAAGACATTGGAAGTATTAGTCTTCTCTGGAGAAGAAGACTGAGTAAGTGGGAGAAGAGTGACAGAATGAATGAGTAAACAATATATTAGAAAAACAAAAGAAAAATAAATCCATTTAAATAAGCCAATAAACTGATATCTAGGCAAGTAAGTATATGCAAGAAAAAAATGGGTAAATGCAAACAATTACAAATAGAAAATATTATAGCCAGAGATACACAAGAAAAAAATAAACTTTAAGAGAATACTCCCTATAACTCTATATTACTTAAATAAAAAATTTAAGTAAAATAGGCACAATTATAGAAAAATGTAGATTAAAATATATTTTAAGTACTCTCAAAATGCAAATAAAACAGAGAAAAAATGCCAAAAAAATAATTACCCTAGTAGCAACCTCTAGCCTCATAAAACTGTTGAAAGAAATTTTGTTTAAACTTTAATAACTAGAATATCACATAGTATATAAATTTCCCTGCA